GTACCCTAATTAATCCTTATATTAATGTCGTGTAGAGCTTTCTCAAGAGCACCAGATCAGCACATGTGCCCCTTGGTAAGTTCCTCTCTGGTCACAGATGCAGGGTCTGTGGTGTGCTGGGTCCTACGGAAGCTGTGGAATTGAGACAGTGTGCTGCATGGTGAGGTTTTTGTACTGAGATTTTCACAGACTCCAGCTTTTAATTTCATGACTCAGAAAATTAATTCTTATTGAAATAAGAAATACTAAATTAGTTTCTGGCATATGTTTATGTCTCTGAAACATAGATGGTGTATATTTTATTCCAATATCATTTCTCCAGGAAGATATTGTTTTATTCTAATGTTTTATATTTCTGTTTACTCTTCTCATAAATAGATGAAATTTTGCTGTTGGTTTTCAATACACAGAACTAGTTCCTCTTCGATCACCTCTATAAATCAATTAAAGCTTTTTTAAAAAGTGACTTGCTTAATATAGCAGTTAGTTTTTACTTTAACCACTTAGTATGAAATGAGGTACCTTTTTTAAAAAAAGCAGTAGCTCTGAAAGAGACATTAACTTCATTCCTATAAAAGATGTGTCACAAAAGCGTGCTTGGCCTATTGTTGATTTTACAGAATTCATCTTCATGGAGTTAGCCTTTAATAGAGTGAAAAGTAAAAAGATGAGGGTGATGGAGGTTTTTGCTGTGTTTATAATAGAGGTCTTTGGACACAATCCACTGGTGTGTGTTGAGAGGGGAGACTAGGTCTCTTACTATTTTCTCCAGTTTTTTCAAAGTAAAAATATTTGTTCTGCTTTCATTCATAGTAGATACACAGAATCCCTTTCAATAAAGCACAAGTGTAGAACCAAAGATTTTCATCTTTCATAACATCTCTTCCTGTTTGTGACATCTACCTCCCACTTGTTTTGAATATCTTTTTTGATATATTAACATAAACTATTATCTTTTCTTGATGTATGTTTAATGAAAAAGACAAAAATTAAAGTTATTTCTAATGAACAGAGGAATTTATTTTTTGCACTATGGGAATGATTGGAAATTCTCATACTGGGCTAATGTGTTTGTGAGAGATGATGGTTTCACATTTATGAATCTCTGAAATTACTTTGTTTCTTTTCGTTGGAATAGTAATTATGTTCACTTAACTTTTCTGAAAATACATGTAAACAATTGAATGATGTAAACACCTATAGATAAATGAGTACCCAGTTGATTACTTTAGCATCTTTTAAAATATGAAAAAATATAATGGCTCCCTCATATTAAAAAATGCATGCAGCTGTCACCCATGCACTCAAATTGTTCCATGATCTTCCTACTTCTGGTGCTGTGTATTTTATAAATGCTGTGCACTGAGTTTGGACCATCTATCTGACTGGTGATGATTTTGCCTTCTTGTTGTATCTATTCTTTCTCTTTCTCTTTGCAATTTTCCAGCTTAAATTGTGAAGACCAATATTCTCATGAACCTAAACCAGTCTTTTGCTCATTGTCACTCTTACCCTAAAACATTTGTTTTCTTTTTTTAACTCAAATTATAGACAAGGACGGCATTGATGCTCACCATGGTAAAGTTGATCCATAAAGTACGGGAATAACAGCCAAAATCTGCTCTTATGTGCACATAAGACACATGATTGAATTCTGTCCTTGAATCCTATTATAATAGATGGTCTTACACTGCATAATATATAGATTATGTTCGTTTTGTCTATGGAAATAGAAGAAAGTGTAGCAAATTTCTTCACCCTGTAATTGTTTTGCCTGCATGGCCATAAGTACTCACATTGGGTGGGAGTCCCAGACCCCTCTTTCTCACAGGACATTTGATTTCATCTCTTATCTGGCCCAGGTGCATGGACCCAAACCTCCTCACTTGCTTGCAAAATATCTGAGTGTATAATGTTTCACAGGATTGAACCTGGTGCTGGTGACTGCCATATATCGTGTCTAAAGTGATTCCTTCCTCAGTTAGGGCAATGATCCATCTGTCAATTGTGTTACATTTCTCCAAGGGCATTTTCAGGCCTTACTGACTAATCAGCGCTCCAAATGTTGACTGCTGACATCAATGCAGAGGTGTCCACATGGCCTTTCTTTGCTTTTTCCAAGTGTGGCCTCTACTGTGTGAATTTTTTCCGAACTTTTTCCCAGGTTATTTCCTCTGTTTATTTATTTATTTAACAAAATCTCTCTTTGATGGCAGCTAGTTACATGCAGTTTGAAAAATGAGAACTTTGTGTTTGAAATTTTGGATGGGCAGGTCTTGATTTAGTACTATCACTTCTAAGAGCTGTATCTGGGGAGTGTCTCCTAGATCACTGTGTGGATGGAAGGAGCTGCTGTCGTGCTCTCTGTTCCCCTAAAGTGGGTTGAGCCTGGGAGATGTGAACCGGATGAGGCTTAGCTATGTGGGGAACTGCTGGATCATTTCTGTTATCCTGTTTTCATATGTACACAGCTGTAAGAATGCATTTTCTAGTGAAATATTAGTACATATTTAGATTTATATCTCTCTATATAACATCTATAGAGAAATGCAGTACAAAGTTATATACAGTGTGTTTTGTTAATAGAGTTGTGTGATCCATAATATTTGGACATGATACGATGGTTTGCCTTACTCCATGTTATGTTTGTAATCATCCATGGGAGCTAATAATATAACTGGTTACTCCTAAGGACATTACTTTCCTATATCAATGTTGTGCAGAAAGGAGATCGATCTTCTGCACCAGAAAGATTTGCCAGTTTCTGGTAAGAACTCAGGCCTCTCCTGACATCCTGAATATTGAGTAAAGTTAAGGCATCTGCACATATCTCCCACCTCAATCCTCATGCTTTAGGACTCTACTTTCCCAAACAATGAGCAATGTTTATAAAAATGTAATGCTATGCCTCAGTAAATAGAAGATTCATGCATGCTACTGGACTTATTTTATGAGATTATTTTCCAAACTTAATTTATGAAAATAGAATTAAATCAAAGTTTGAATTTTGCACAAACAACATAAAGAGAAAATGTCATAATTTTTTCTTGCAATTCTTTCAAAATTTAAAAAAAACCTTATTTTTTTTCCCTGGGAATTGAGCAGGGGAAACTTCTGTTTTTCAGGCAGGTGCCGTGTATTAAGCTATATCTCCAACTCCTAAACTCTAATTTTGATATTGTTATGTATCTATGTAAAGTTATGCCTTCAAAATATTAAAAGTATACATTTTATAATTTGCATAGGATAGTTGTAGAGGAAATAAGTGTCTGTCATTCATAAACACATAAAAGACAAAGCAGAACACTGAGGATTCAGAAACCTACAGAGCCAGAGATGTCTGATAGGCAGATATATATCTTACGTGTTCCCCCTGAGCACACGATAGGATCAAACATTAACTTGTTGACTGTATGAATGGAGAAAATTGTGTTACTTTCCTTTACCAGTACTTTAGAGAAGATGAACTTTTCCTAGTTTTACTATTACATTTATATTTTAAAAATCAAAACTTCCATAGCACTGTGATCATATACTTCCTTACCTCTGATTTTTAAGTTATGATCATATGTTCATTGTATCTGAAAGTCCAAGTTTCTTTCAGTCACTTATAGAGCATACATTCTAAGTAGGTATGAAGGCTGTCTTAATCTATGATGCTTAAATGATAAGTCTGTGATAATACATGTCTATGCCCATGTCACCATTTTAGAATGTTAACATTATAGCTTTATAAAGGTTGATGTAATGCAAAAATACCTGCATCACACTGGGCGATAACCTCAAAAGTATATTGCCATCAAATCCTGTGGTAAAAACTTTTACACTTGAGCCCTATAACTTTACAGAATTATCATTTTATTGCTTGAGGAAGGAAGCATAAATATATGGAGTCATTGTGAACCACCTTCAGGGTAAGAATGTTTGCCACTCATTTAATTAAAAATTTGACAAAGAATCTTCAGAATTTACTAAAAACATGGATACATTTCAGATTCTCTTTCCACATGATTATGATGGAGTGAAAAGAAACTTATAATTCATCGTCCTAATACTAAAGAATAACTTCAGTGTCATTACTGATCTAGGTTTCCCTGCCATTAGTTTCTAGAATATATGAGCTGTAGCGTTCTTGAAAGATTAAAAAACATTTTAATTTCATGTGTTTTATAAACAGATATTGTTAAGTGTCTACTATTTTGATATTCATATCTCCTTACTTTTCTAGGCTGAGACAGAAGTATAATATATTATGAAGCATTTTAATTCTCTCATTTTATCCATGAGGAAGTACATAATAATGATAATAGTACTTGAAATTTCATTCTTCTGCCAGGCTTTCTTCATAGCTTTTATACTTGTACACACTGTATCTCTTGGAACTAGAAATATATTTGTCAGTATTTTACTGACCATTTGACTGTGAATCAAATGTGTTAATAGGCTTTTCAAATCCTAGAATTGATAAATGTTAGATTATAGATGTCAGCAAAATTCAATAGAATTCAAAACATACTGAGAAATATTTGTTTGGGAATATATCAAAACAAAAATATGACGTAATATAATCATATATGCCTATGCCATGAAGTTACTGCTTGGAAGGATCTGAATCAGATGTAGACGAATCTAACTTCCAACTACCACAAAAGGAATATAGCTTTTATTCTGTAGCCAGCATTTTCTCTACTTTCTCTAGATAGAAAAACAAATAGGGCATTGTACCTGATGAAGAAATCTAACAATTGAGACAGACACATGGAAACGCTTGCGATCACCTGTGTCATTTTTTCTGAGGTGCTGTGGGGCCCTTGAAGTGCCACATGTAATCCAACTGCCCTGAGGACAGGTGAGCTCTGCAGTAGAAAGGGTGCATAGGGAGGAATCCAATGATCTGATGAAGGCATAATGTTTGAGAAAATGATGATGGTGGTGATATTTGTGACAAATAATTTTTCTTGCTTTTTTCCTTAGACTTCTGTTGTTTTTCTTTCACTGTGATGGTGAAGAAAAAGAGAAAAATTTCCAGATTTTTTGATATAAGAAGCACAGTTTTCTTTGAAATCACCATTGGGATCATAGCCAACACTGTCCTCCTTCTGTTCCACATTCTCCAGTTTCTATTCAAACACAAACCCAAGCCCCTGGACCTAACTATTGCTCAGTTGGCCCTAATCCACTTGGTGATGCTGGTAACCATGGGTTTCATAGCTACAGACACTTTTGGGTTTCAGGGTTGGGAAGATGGCCTCACATGTAAAGTAATTATTTACATGCAAAAGTTGATGAGAGCCCTCTCGATCTGTACCACGTGCCTGTTGAGCATCCTCCAGGCCATCACCCTAAGCCCCAGAAACTCTACTTTGGCAAAATTCAAACATAAAGCCACATATCGCTATCCATGTTGCCTTGTGTGTTTATGGGTCTTCAATATGCTCCTGAATGGTCGTTTCTTAGTCTCTATTGGTGCCACTCCCAATGTGACCTCACATAGTCTCATATTTGTCACTGAATCCTGCTCTCAGTGGCCTATTAGTTACTTGTTCAGGTACATATTTTTCTCACTGGCAAATATTCAGGATATTTCCTTTATAGGACTGATGGCTTTCTCAAGTGGATACATGGTGAGCCTGTTAAGCAGGCATAAGAGGCAGATCCAGCATCTTCACAGCACCAGCTTTTCTTCAAAGAGCTCCCCTGAAGGAAGGGCTACCCAGACCATTCTGTTGCTCATGGGGTTCTTTATGCTCATGTACTTCTTGGACTGTGTTACTTTCTCCTCCCGTGCAATATTGTGGAATAATGACCCAATTAGTCTCTGTGTACACATGCTTTTGGGCAATGGCTATGCCACAGTCTGTCCTTTTGTCCTAATGAGAACTGAAAAACGAATGATTGGGTGCTTAACATTCTGGTGGAAAAGATAAATGTTTTAAGTATTGGCTGATGTATAATTTCCTTTCAGTTTTCGAAATATTTGAAATATCTCTTAACCTTTGAAATATATGTAGTTTTATTTTAAACGTGTTGACTTTCTTGTGTTTGGATTGAAAAAATAAAACCATAGAAGAAAACAAAAATAAAACTATAGGCAAACCTCTGAAATGAACATAAGTACAAAACTCTTCAATAAGATACTGGCTCACAAATGCAATAAATCATCAAGATCATAATACACCATGACCAGGGATGGTTCAACACATGTAAATCAATAAGTATATTTTTTTCCACATCAGCAGAGCCAGTGACACAAGTCACATGATCATCTCAACAGATCCAGGAAAATAACTTGACAAATTCATATACCCATTCATGATAGGAACAATGGTGAGAATTACAATGGATGGTCTTTATCTTAATTTAATGTAGGTGTCTATGATAAAACCACATCTGGCATCACAGTAAATGGTTAAAAATTGAAATCATTCAGTCTAATATCAGGAAGAGGATAAGGATGTCTATTATCACTATTTTTATTTAATATAGTTCTGGAATGATTTGCCAAAGAAATTAGAAAAGAGTAAGAAACAAAAGGATAAGGAAAAGAAAGAAATTAAATTTTCATTATTCGCAAATGACATGATACTCTTCATAGAAAACTCCAAAAATTCTTGTAGATTTAATAATCAAATACAAAGTCAACACTCAAAACTCAATAGCATTCCTATACACAAAGAACAAAGTACAAATTCACTGAAAGACAAATTAGGAAAACCACACCATCCATGATGATATCTACAAAATGAAATATTTAGGAATCAATATATAAAATGAAATAATGGATCTATATAGTGAGAATTACAGTACTCTGATAAAGGAGATCCAAAAGGATGCCAGAGAAAGGAAAGATACCCTTTGCTTATACATAGGAAGAACCAACAGTAAAAATGGCTACACTCTCAAAATTGTTATATAGATTCAATGCAGTCTCAACCAAAATACCATTATTATACCTCACAGAAATAGAGAAAACATTCCTAAAATTCATTTGGAACCAGAAGAGACCTAGGCTAGAAAAAACAATTCTCAGCAGCAAAGGCAAGGTAGGGCCATCACCACAATCTTGGACTTATATTATTCTATAATGCCATAAAATCAGCATGGTACTGGCAAAAAAAAATCAGATCTGTTGATCAGTGCCACACAGAAGATGCAGAAATAACTCCAAACATACTTCACCACCTTATCTTTCAAAAAAGAGACAAACATACTCACTGAATGAAAGATACCCTATTTAATAAATAGTGCTGGGAAATTTTTTTCAATATGCCAAAGACTAAAACTGTAGTTTTGTCTACACCAGGCACTAAAGTCAAAATGGATCAAAAATCTAAAAATTAAGACAGAAATACTAAATTTGTTAGAAGAGCGAATAGCAGACCCTCTCAAGACATAGGCAAAGGCAAAGATTTCATGGACAAAACCCCAGGCCCATGAGAAATAATATCAAGAAATCAATAACTGTTATCTCATCCTGTTAAAAAGTTTCACACAGCAAAAGAAATTATCAACAGGGTAGAAAGACAAATTACATAGTAGGAAAAAGTTCAGCCATTTATTCTTCAGACACAGGACATATATCTAGAACTTACAAAGAATTGAAAAAAAAATCAAAACTCCCAAATTCCAATTCCAATCCAAAATGGATGTCTGAGATAAATATGATCATCAGACGAATAAATGTCGTTCTTTTTGCTTCACTAATCCTAATGTCAGTTTCCATTCTCATGTTTGGGAAATTTTCAGCTATTACTTTTGCAAATAGCCTTTTGATATCATTTGTGTTGGCCCCTTCTTTTTCATTTATCCCTATCAATCTTATATTGTTTTTCTTTGAGTCATCTTCCAGCTGTTGAATTGTTATTTCTTGATTCCTTGTTATTTTAAAGAGATCTTTCCTTTCCTGTTCACTAGCTGAAATCTTGTCTTAGAGATCTGAAATTCTATCTTCACTTTCATTGAGACAGTTTTGACAACTTTCAATGGAATTATTAATTTCCTGTGTGTCTCTGAATCTGCTTTATGTATTCTGTGTTTCTTTTTTTTTATATGCTCATCCAGGGATTTTATCTTTTTGTTTGTTCCTCTAATTTTTAAACTGTTTCTTCTTTAGATATGCTCAGTATCTCTTTCATTATTTTTTATCATTTTTTCTTTTACCTGGATGATTATTTCTAGTTTGAATTCCTTTAAAGCTTCCTGGAGTTGCTTCTTTATTTCAGTTACTATTATTTCATGCATATAGCATGTATTTTCTTCTATGTATATGGTTCCTAAGCCTTCTTGGAATGGGCTGAATGTTTGAGATTGCAATTTGGTCTTTTTTTGTCATGTTCCTATATTTCTGTGTTTCAATTGTTGTTCCAAGGCTTTCCCTGGATGTGTTGGAAATCATCTCCTATATCCTGGCATCCTGAGACTCCCTTGGCAGGGTATCTCCCTCCTTGGGCAGCGAGGCCCCCAGACTGAAAGAAGGTTACCAGGCACTGCACAGGCAGGCCCAAAGCCTCCTAGAACAGCACAGCTCCCCGTCTGGCAGCAAAGTTCCCCGGACCAAAAGAAGGCCACCAGGCATGGCTCAGGCAGGGCTGATACCCACTGAGCCCATCTAGTGTGGCCGCAAGCTAGGTGGGTTCCAATCACCCTGAGCAAGTATCTCAAACTCTCCAGGGCTCAGATGGTGTGCAAGCACCCACCTCCTCAGGTGGCAAAGCTCCCCGGGCTGAAAGAAGGTCTCTGGTGTGGCTTAGGTTGGCCTCTGCAGTGCTGCTCCTTCCTCCATGCAGCAGTGGCATTGGCAGCAGTTGTAGCAAAGCTTCTCGGGATGAGAGAAGGTCGCTAGCATGCCCTAGGTAGCCTCTGCGGCACAGCTCCCTCCTCCGGGGAGCCCAGATGATTGAATGTAAATGTCCAGTAAATATATGAAAAATTGTTCAACATCGTTGGTCATTTGAGAGATGCAAGTTGAAACAACACTGAGATTCCATCTCACCCCAGAAAGAATAGTTATCACCAAGAAATCATCCAATGACAAATGCTGATGAGGCTTTGGGGAAAAAGGAAGCTTTTTTCAGTGTTGGTGGGAATGTACACTGTGGAAATCAGTATTGAGTTTCCTCATAAAATTAAGGTTAGCGGTCCTGTTTGATGCATCTATTCTCCTTCTGGATATCTTCCCATCAGAATTAAAAGCACACTGCAGCAATATATGCACAACCATATTCATAACAACCACAATTTGTAATAGCTAAATCTTGGAAATAATGCAAACACCCATCAACCAAGGAATGGATAAAAAATGTGTTCTTATACAGTATAGTACTACTTAGCCATAAAGAAGTACAAACTTGATATATTTATAGATAAATGGGTGCAGTGCGAGACCATAATCTTAAGTGAAATGAATCAGATTCACATATATAAACATCTTGATATCTACCTGGTGTGAGAAGCTGAAAGATAATTAAGGACAAAAGGTACAATCGATATTGTGAAATGCAATGAAATTTTTCAAAAGTAAAGAGAAACTAGGTTGTAGTAGGAAGGAAAGGGAGGATAGGAAAATAAATCCCAAAAGACTAAATACAAGATAGTTATATTACTAATTTTTCTTAGTTCTTTGAAAAGAAAGATTTGTGCTAATGTCATTTACGGAATATTTTTGCCTATGTCTTTTATTCTTAGTAACTACTTTGAAGATGATAATACACAGGGTATTAAGTATTTTGTGATGAAATTATATTTTTCATAAAATATAATAATAAAAGTAATTGAAAATCTAACATGAACCAGGAGAAAACCAAATTAGTCAAACTAACTCTGCATTAAAATTTCAGACTTCGTGTTACACTGTTATAGTAGTATAAGCAGCATGTTACTGCCACAAGAAAGCAGACATGTTGACCAATGAAATAGAATAGAGGGTGAAGACATAACTATAGGTATCTTTAGCCATCTGATTTTGACAAAAGTGTCAATAATATACACTGGAGAATTGATAACCTTGTTAAAAATGGTGCTGGAAAACTGGTTGTCCGCTTGCAGAAGAATAAATCTTGACCCATATTTCTCACTCTGCACTAAAATTAAATCAAAATACATGATGGATGTAAAGACAGCAACACTGAATCTACTGGACAAAAATACTGGTAAAATTCAAAGCCTTAAGAAACACTTACTGACCAGAACCGAGTTGCACAAGAAATGATACCAACAACCAACAAGCAGGATTATGTAAAATTTGAAATCTTATGCACACCAAAGGAAATAACAAAGAAAATGGGAAAATATTTTTCCTAGTTATCCCTTAGAGGACTAATATTTAGAATACAAAAATAAATAAAATCTTAGACTCCTGAAATCAAAGATTCCATACAAAAATGGTCAATTTAAAATGTATACACACCTCAGAAAAAGTAAAAATGGCCAACAAACACATGAAAAGTGCAAATAGTTTGAGAAGTGCAAATCAGGTCGTCACTTCCAGAACCCAGCAGTCAGAGCCTCATGGAGCCATCACCACTCACTGAGATCCATTTGTCGCTGGCTGCCTCTGTGCCCATGTCTTGGACCTGGCCACTGGTCAACTCTGAGCCTGCTCTGCATCTGTTTCTCCTTGACATCAGACAGCAGATGAATCAGCCAAACTATTGATCAGTCTGATTGTGGAAAAGACCAGTGCCCAGGGAGAGGATGTAAGCCAGAAAGGTAAGCAGCTTGAGGAGAAATAACTACCTGGACCAACTAAAGCCAAAGGCTATTGTAAATTGCAAAAACAGTGTGAGGTTTTATTCTTAATATGATTCCAGTTTTGGTCCCCAGTAGCAGCATAATGGCATATTGGAAGATATTGTATGATTGAGAAGTTGTACATCTGGAAACCAAGGCTGTTTTAAGACATTGGAAGCAATAAGCAAATCCCTCTCCA